GAGCTTTATTTAAAAGATACAATTTATGTAGCAAAACTGAAATCTTTGAGAGCTACAAATGAAGCCTGGATTTGCCAACACAGACAGGAGAAATGGAATTGATTTGTAAMAATGGTGATCAGTTTTCAAAGGAAAACATTTTTAGAGAACATCTATCCTTTTCTCACAGTTTGCCCACAAGCAGAGGACTTTAGGCATCGATACCATATGAGAAGAAATGTTTTATGAAAAATGAAAATTAATTTCTTCCTTYATCCTCGAGCTTGCCCTCATGTATGAAGCAGAGTGTCAAGGTTTTCAAAAGAGAGTTTTCAATCCCAAACAAATATGTGTATGAAAACTGGTTATACACAAAAAGCAGCATCCTTTGTCTCAGTAACTATGGTTTACTGTGATACGCTGGAACAGTTCAGTGAAGAATACTATTTCCAGTGCTTTATCTGAAATAAAATGTGATGCAAAAGCAGTCRAAAGAAGAGATGGCTAAGTGTGAAATTTTCTTTGTAGTCAGCTGCTGATCCACAGATGAGTCACTCGTAAAGGCTCACTCAGGTTTCATCTCATCACCAGCTCTGAATCTTCTGAAACCTTTTCCAGAGATTCAATTTAGTCAGACGTGCTTCAGCCATCATGCCACCTTCAGCAGTGCYACACAGCAGAATACAGCACAGAGTTTTTCTCTCTCCAGTGCTTTTCTTTGTCACCTCTGCAACGTGAGGACACGGCTGCGCCACTTCCACGCTGCAAGAGCTCTTCTTTCCCTTACACCTGGAGCTATTTGGCTCACTGGCTTCAACACATGGACAGAGCTGGACAGCAAGCCATAATGGGAGCATTGAAGCCAAGAGACAGCTCAGCAGCAGCAGCTGGTGGAGCCCTTCTCAGCACAGCAAGCCTCAGTGGCAGCTATCAGGAATAACTCAGAGAGATGTACCCAAAGGCCTGGCGCTGGGGTGGCACTTCCATAGCAGCAGCAGCAACATGGGGGTGGCTGGGCCAGTTTTGGCTTCCTAAACCTGTAACCTCTGATGCAGGACAATGCAAATGCGTTCATTATGAAGAAGAGTTATTGAGCATGAAGAATGACTGCTTTGCAAAGCAATTATCAAATAAAAAACAAACAKACCCACATCTGTGGATTTTGTGGTCTAGAACACTTTTGTTGTTAGAACTCCCCTGCTCTACAGTCCAGTAAGACTAGGAAAGCATAAAAAAGCCCTTTTGCCACTGTAAGAAGAGTGTTTATAACCAAGCCTGCCACTTACACTCCAGATTTCAGTTCTCTCATGTGTAAAAAATTGACTACAATAGTAGTATCCATGCTGGTTCTACTGGTTTCCATGGGCTCAAACAGTTCTGAGTGAAAATAACACGCCATTTTTCCACTGTCTTCTCTTGTTCCCTTTGACTGAGAGAGAAGACGGTGTCTCCGCAGCACTCCCAGTCCTGGGAGCCACAAAAGCAAAGCCTGAACTCAGGGCCTGAGCACCAGGCAGYGTGTTGAGCTGCTCTGCTAGTGCTGCCTCCCAACACAAGCAAGTTCCACAGCACCACAGCCCTCCTGACTCTGGCTGGACCTGATGCAGCACCAAGTTGTTCTGTCACTACACCCACAAGCTACAGCATCTGATGTGAACAATTAATAGAATAAAATGGGTTTGGGGTTTTTGTTTTTTCTTTTGTTTTATTTTTTTTTAAATTTGTTTCAGTTTGGCTTGTTTTGTTTTGTTTTTTGTTTTGTTTTGTTTTTCTAGTGCCCTGAGCTAGCATTCTTAATCAGTGACAGGGAGCTCATGCACATGGTTCATAAACAAGCAAATTCAATTACTAAAACAACAGCAACAGAGCAGCCCAAAATAGTAGTCATAAATAAATAAATAATGCTTTCTTCCAGTTTTACATTTGAACGYTTTTCAATCTCCGGCACAGCACATATTTGACAGTCATGAAATAGTAGTGATAAGTGCAACATGGGCTGCCTGCTTTGGGCATTCTCCCTTTCTTTAAAAATGTCACTCAGCCTCAAATCACACGACATTGGAAGTATTTCCCAGGATTGGAAACCTTCCCTTTCTGAATGTAATTACACTCATGGAAGACTGAAGGCTCAGCAAAACCACAAAACCAAAAATTTCATTGAACTAGCACCAAGTAGTCTCCATGTGTGCCTATGAGCCTCCTTAACTGTGCAGAGTTGGCATCTGCTATGTGAACCTCTCCCAACTCTAAAGCAAGGAGCAAGCAACTGTTACTTTCATGAGATTCAATGACTTTCAAGAGCCACCAAAGGAGAGATTAGAAGTTAATCACTCTTTATTATCCCTGAAGAGGTCAGAATCAAGATTGCAGAGCTTTCAGGTACTGTCTTCCATAGAAAGTATGATAAAAACTCATGCCCCGTGATACATCCATGGATGTCTTTATAGTATGGTAAATGATGGACATAATCCAGAAGATAGAAACTGTTTTAATTTTCCTGCTTCAAGTCTGTGTTGTCTCAAAGCCATGGTAAACTTTGTCTGAAGTAGATCTGTTAGATGTATTTTCCCTGAGATGTGCATCCTGAAATCCTTGCCTGTTCAAGCCTCTTGCCTGTTCTGATCAATTCTCTCTGCTTCACATTTGCCAGTGTTTCTCAAATGAGAAATTCCAATTCGACATCCTACATCCCACTGAATCTTCTGTCTACATTTTGTTTCAACAGAAGATTTCTGATTAGCTCTACCTAATGTTTCTGTCTGTCTCTGTGGCATGCTGGCACTGCTTCTGTAAAGGTACTGAATCCAGAAACTGCAACACAGCTCTGCTGACTTCACCAGCTGAAGCCAGGGGACAAAATGTTTCTGACACAGAAAAGGACCATACCATATTATTTACCCTATGTCATTTGACCAGCAAATACTCACAGTCAATATGAGTATGTATGATTCTACAGAGCATACAGACTTCCCTTTCGTGGCTGGGACTCCAAGGGAAAAAGTAACACACTCTTCTTTCAACTCTGGTATGTTGAATTTGTATCCTTATTTTGATAGAATCATAGAGTCTCTTAGGTTAAGAAGTCTYCTAAGGTCACGGAGTCCAACTGTTAGCCCAGCAAAATGTTCACCAGTCAAGCACAAATCCACATGCCWTTTGAGCACTTCCAGTGACGGTGATTCCACCACTTCCCTGGGCAGCCTGATGCAATGCCCGACTTCCTTTTCTGTGAATAAATGTTTCCTAATATAGAATCTAATCCTCCCTTAGTGCAACTTGAGGCCACTTCCTCTCATCCTGTCACTTGCTGCATGGGAGAAGAGASCAACCCCCCACCGCACTACAGCCATGTCTCTAAGTGCCACATCTGCACGTCTTTTAAATATCTCCAGGGATAGTGATTCAACCACTTCCCTGGGCAKCCTGTTCCAATGTTTGACAACCCTTGCTGTGAAGAAATTTTTCATTCATGCACAGCTGATATTAAACCAGCAGAAAAATCAGAACAGTTCATGATATTTGCTTGGGATGCTTCAGAAATAAAAAGGAAATGCTGTAAGTCAAAAGCCAGGAAAAAAGATTGCTATATGGTATAAGCAGATCCAGGATATAAAAATGGCATGAACTGGGCAGGAAAATCTACATTTTCATTACATAAGGGACTTATGATTACTTCGACAATGTAGACAAATTGATCTCACTTGAAGAAGAACTGTCAGACATGGGGTGGTATTGGACCCTTTAACAACTCTTGTACTGAATTACGTAAATCATTTAAATTGATGAGATTCACCAGATGGTTTCCAGCAGGAGAACTAAACCTTAGTGCATACATCTGCATTACCTGCTTGCAGCTAAAATCTCCTCCATTGCTTTCAACTCCGACACTGTTTTATTTCCCCATCTGTATTTTTTATTATTATGACTATTTATTTTTCCAGTTAAGGGAATTATTTGTTCTGATATCTTGTTCTAAGTAATGCTGCCAACTGTGATGAGAACATGGTTTYATAAYACAGGMGACAAAAATRTGTTTATTGGTTCAGAATTATTTCAGATATGAGTGCTGATAATTAGATGTAGTTCTGCATTATATTTACTACAGCAGACWGAATCATCAAGATAAAAAAATATAGCTTGAAATTACTTTTATGATACTGGTTTTGATGAACAGGTAGTGGTTTTGTCTCTGTGAACTCTTCTAATTTATAGCTGATAAAAAAAAAGCCAGTCTTATTCAACAGAACTGAATGAAAAAACTTCACTGGGAGCATTTTGGTAAAAAAAGAAAGATGTTCTATTCAAACTGACATGGCTTGTTAATGTCAGATACTGCTGAATACCTTGAATTTTTCTTCCAAGGATTAAAAAAAAAAGGGTATTCACTGGATAAAGGAATACTCCAGGCAAGGAAATAGGCTGGAGCATAATCAGCACAGACCTTGCCAATACCATGCTTCAGAAATCAATCTGGAAGCTTCTCTAGGACTTAAACTTTTCTGCTGGTCTTAAAGAGCAGCAGATGACAATGCCATACAYAGTGTTGAACTATGCTGGACAATTAATTAGCATGGCAGAGCTGATCTTTTATCTGTTCTCTCCCATGGTAAATACRTCTGCTCTAAGTGAAGTGAGGAAAAGTGTGCTCAGATCCTGGATTTGCTTACATAGGAAATGTACAAAGGTACATAAAATCACAGTTAAACTATATTTGATTCAGACAAAGGCATTCTACAAATGCCTTTGTAGATCTGAGTCTTTATTTTCCAGCTAGCTGCACTCCCACTGTCTTCTTACACTTACTTGTCATAGAGATCATACTCACTTCCATGTCTGTATGCCTACATACATTCTTCTACGTCAGTTCTTGAAAATGAAAATGCCCAAGTTTGTCCACAAAAAGATGTGGTTGGTTGTCACCAGATGGTGATGTTTTTACGCAAGCCTTTTTGGTTCACTTCCTACCGACGGTCTTTGCAATGTRAAAATAGAGAGAATATATATAGATTAAAGAAACTTACCCGGTTGCCTTCAAACCTTAAGCGATCGTTGTTTGCCTTTGTTGTTTTTTCCGCAAGTTTCTTCTGCCTTTGAGGGCCTTTTCCAAAGAAAATGTAGTTGACAAAGGCGTATTCAAGTAAGGCCAAGAAGACAAACACAAAGCAGCCCATGAGATACATGTCAATGGCTTTAACATAGGGAATTTTAGGCAAAGTCTCCCGTAGGTGAGTGTTGATTGTTGTCATAGTCAGCACAGTCGTAATTCCTACACGAAGATAAAAGAAGACATATCTTACAACTCCAAGCATTCAATTTTAYTTTCCTTCTTGGCAAATATACCTTGTCAGTGGGAAGAAGCTTAAAAATTTCTTAAAGATATCTTGCAGGCAACATAACTGCAAATGAAAGCAAAATTAAAACCTGATGCATTATTATTCTGTTACAATTATTTCCTTCATAGGACTGGGGAAACAGCTAATGGAGGGTTTGGCACCACTGCCCTGAGTTAATGTAGCTTCATGGAAACAGCATAGCTATGCTGAAAACTCTTCCATGAAGACCAAACTGATGTGCAACAGAAACAATGTTCGTACAGATGGTGAAAGACTTCTCCCACAGTTTTAAATTTCTTAGAGTTAGGCAGYTGGTTGATGCCAGTCCTGTAGGGCCTCCCTGTAGCAGACAGAGAGACAGGCACCTTTCTAGAGCAGTTCATCCCATCTATTTTAGACACCTATTTCAGGAAAGGACAATATGTAAGTGGAATTTGAGATGACTAATTTGGAGCAGTAGTCTAGTTACATAGAGAAAAGTGAGATGAGCAATGAGAGACAGGTATCTGAATTTTTGGAAAGAAAAAGGAGGGAGAGCAGCATGTTTATAGCAACAAACTGAACACTAATTAAATACCTMCAAAAAAGCTATATCAACCTTATAAGTTATTTATCCAAGGATRAAGATAGAACCTGAAAATATTTTAGAGAACTGTTTTGAAAATCTAGAAAGAAAAGCAAATTTATTTTCAGTCTGCCTGAAAATACACAATAAACTGCAGTATCTGTATCTCTGCTGGAAATTTTATGGGAATTGCAAATCACAGGTTKCTGCAAACACTGATGTGTGGAATAAGTCTACATCTCAAGGCAAGCCATTCTATTAGGTCCCCTCCATTACTATTTTCTTTGATTCCATAATTATACCATCAGTTTATAAGTAGTCACTAAAATACAGGCAGAACAGAAATACAGGACAAAATAAAATTGCTGCCATATAATAAAACACAGCTTCTTTTACCTGAAGAGACAGAAATAAAGACAGTATAACTCAAAATCAAGCTGTCGGTGTAAGCAGTGTCACTCCAGGGAACTGCAGTAATACCCTMTGAGATTGTGTAACAGATATTTTGTATATTTAGTAGGTTAGTGACGTGCAGTTTTCAGTGCTTTTCCTCTAAACTGTGAAACAAATGTGCATTGATGTCAGATGTCTGGTGATCTGGAAGATTAAGCACACTGAATAGAAAGGTGGCTAGAACTAACCCAAGGGAAATACATTCCCTGGGAGATCCTTAAACCCTACGGCCAAATGTCCTTCTGAAAATCAATAATTTATTTTAAAGCACGGCTCGAGGAAAAGTAGCTGACACTCCCCTCAAATAAGAAAATAAGATAAACTTGTGATTCTAATCCTTCCCACAAGGAAAGACTCGAGAGATTATTTTTCTCCTCACTCGTAGGACTGAATTTAGGAACTTCTAGGGCTATCTAGCAAAAAATCAAGTGAGCAGAATTGATAGGTTTGAATGTTTCTCTTGTGATCAGCCCTTTATCAGCCTCTATCAGCAGTGTTCAGAGCACAGTCTCTGGAACGAGCGGGCCTCTGCTTCGTACCTCGGCTTCATTCTGAAGGCAACAATCTGGTTCAGTGCAGMAAGGGATCAGGCACAGGGGCAAAACATGGAGGGGAATGAACAGAATCAAGGTCTTCCAGACAACACAGCCTTCTTGCAGGGATTGAGAAAAAGTTCGTCTCTGAGTCCCAAGATTTGCACAAGGAATGTTTCTCCAACAAATACTTAGGAAATCAGGTATACCTTTTCTGTACTTCACTTTTCAGATCCAGTTATACTGGAACCAAAGGTGCARTCCAAACTGCAGTCCATAACTGGATCTGGTTTCAGATCCAGTTATGTCCAAAGRTGCTAKGTTGCCTTTAAATTTTTAMACCACTTCATATKGGGATACCAGGTGAGTTCACRGATGAYACAAAACTGGAAGCAGCTGTTGCCTCTCCTGGAGGCAGGAAAGCCTTGCAGAGAGACCTTGACAAATCAGAGRGCTGAGCAATCACCACCCATTTGAAGTTCAGTAAGGCAAAATGTCAGCTTCTGCAGCAGGAATGGGGCAACCCTGGATGTACTGACAAACTGGGAAACAAAAGGCTGGAAAACAGCACCACGGAAAGGGACCGGGTGGGGGGGTCCTGGTCAGTTACAAGTTGAACAGGAGCCAGCAGTGCCCCGACAGTGAGGAGGGCCAACCCTRTCCTGGGGGGCAWCAGGYACAGCATCACCAGCAAAGCAAGGGAGGGGATTGTCCCACTTTGCTCTGCCCTGGGGTGGCCTCACCTTGAATATTSTGTGCAGCTTTGGGGACTGCAGCATAGAAAAGGTATTAAACTATTAGAAAGTGTCCAATGGAGGGTAACAAGGATGATGAAAGGCTTTAAGGGGAAGCTGTATGACGAGCAGCTGTAGTCACTTGGTCTGTACAGACAGAAGACTGAGAGGAAACCTCGTTGCAGTAACAACTTCCTCATGAGGGAAGAGAAGGGGTAGGCACTGATCTCTTCTCTGTGGTGACCAGTGACAGGACCTGAAGGAATGGCCTGAAGCTATGTCAGGGGAGGTTTAGTTGGATATTAGAAAAAGGCTGTTCATCCATAGACTGGTTGGGCACTGGAACAGGCTCCCCAGGGAAGCGGTCACAGCACCAGCCTGACAGAGCTCAAGAAGAATTTGCACTATGCTCTCATGCACATGGAGTGACTGTTGGGGATGGTCCTATTCAGGGCCAGGAGTTGGACTTGATGATCCTTGTGGGTCCCTTCCACATTTTCTGTGATTCTGTCATATCAGCTTAAGASTCATAAGGGGGACTATACAAAGGAACACAGGATTAGACCCATGGTACCGAACTTTATTATACAAATATCACAGATATAATCACCAAGGCACTAATTGTTTTCTCAGAAGAAACTATCAGATGTGTTTTTGTCCTCTCAAAAGGACTTTCTATCAACTGGAAATAGAACATCTGGTCTCCTGAGCTTGCCTTGTACTCTCTGACTTTTGTTCTAATATTTGTCTTACAGTACTTGATGARCTTGTGCTACACAGAAATAGGCCACATGAGACAGTCTTGTTCCTTAAACAAGAAAAAAAATCTCATGAACCTGTAACACAAGGGCATGGAATGTCACTGAGAATGGTAACTTCTGTCTAACCATCTGCTCTCTGCAGTCCTGGACAGTAGGTATCTAGCTGCTGACTGATGTGTTTGAARTGCTCCCCTCACTTGGTCCACCTGGGTGGATCTCTGGTATCTACTAGTTCATTTATGAACACAACAGAGATGTTCAGACTCTATGCCCCACTTCCTATTAGACTGCTACTTAGCTCCACACTGATAAACACACACTGGCTGCTGAGTGATGATGCCAGACAGTGTCATGTCCACACGCACCAGCTATTCAACAGGATCTGCAGAGTTACTGCACAGTAACTCAGTTAATCTACAAAATCTCCAGCTACCCAGCTTCATCCCAGAGGCTGGGATGTAATATGGTGCTGTACCAAGGTGGTTACCCTGCCTGCTTTGGTATGTGRGACCTTGGGAGGTATGAGGAAAGGAAAAGGGGAATCATAGGGACATCGGCTGTAGTCTGGGTTTGCTGTGGTATATTACAGAAAAATWAGGGAACTAAGGAATATGTTTCTGKCTTAAGAAAGTAAGAGAGCACAGCAGGAGGACAGACAGCACAAGCTTAGTGACAAGTTTTGGGTAGGAAGGTTATGTGTAACTGGGAAGCACAGGGCTGAAGACAGAATTTCAGAGGAGGTGAGAGGCAGAGGTGTTGATAAGGTTTTATAGATCCATTTAATATTCCTTAACTACAGCTATCCCTAAGTATGCTTCCGTAAAGGATGAAATATTTGCTTTGAGATATTGTCATAGAATCTGTCCTGGTTCTGGCCAGGGAAGGGTTAACTTTTGCAGTTGCTGGGAGAAGGCATGGCTAGGACCCCAAGGTTATTCTATACCAGCTCACAACATTGCCTGGGGTTGTGGGAAGGTAGTCTTTTTTCCAGAAGGAAGGGTTCTCTTCAGGTTGGGGCAGTGTTGGGTCACGAGTTCCACAATGAACATTTTTCCTTCCCTTATTTAAAGGATACCTTGATCTGAAAAGTTCTTGGGCAGGAATCACACACTTGTGCCAAATCCATGGGTTTCTGTCATGAGGTAAATGACACTTAAAGCTGGCACTTAACATCCCATGTACTCTGACAGTTAGGTGGCATGTTATGGTCCATAGCTCATGTCCCCCTGTGTGCTGAACTAGCAGTGGTTCTTGGTCTGCTCCTGCCGGTGTCACTTAAAGCTCTCAGGATCTCAGGAGGAGGCTTGGAGCCACATTTGTCCTCCCACACTGAGTTGGACTAAAAGCCCACGCTCACTATGGTTGTGGAGCTGGTCTCCTAGATGAACTTACTGACAACAACATTAACTTTGATGAGAACAAGTCTGGGACTTGTATAAGCAGCTCATGTCAGAGATTTAGTGGTAGCTACATTCTTGCATGCAGGGGAAAACTTATCACTTTTGAGGCAATACTGGATGACATGATTTTGACGCAAATTATTTTGGAATATCAAAACACTGACATCACGTTGTAGTTTTTAACAACCTCTGAAGGCTACATTCAGTCTGACATTTTAATGTCCCACTCATTCTTAGCACATACCAAGGGCAACTCTTGCTGCTGATGCATCATAATTGATCCAGAATGACACCCATGATAAAATGGTAATCAGTATAGAGGGCATGTAGGTTTGAAGAATAAAGTAGCCGATATTTCTCTTCAACCTGAAGCTCAGTGAGAGTCTTGGATAGGCACCTGAAAAATGAAAGAAGAAAACAGTGTTAATTATACTGAAGAAAAGACACTTGTGGATAATTGCCTCCAGTTTCTGTAGAAATTAAAGCATGCACATTTTGTGGGGCAGTATGACATCTGCAGAACAGTAGGGAAGACACCTTCACTGTATTGCTCATTGGTATCAAAAGAAACCTTGTGGTGAATACAGTAATGGCCAAGTAATTTGTATTTGGGAAGAAAAAAGAGACAGTAAATTACTTTGCACTATTGCACAGATAGGTGAGCACCATTTAGTTTTTAAAAACAAATGCTTAGATGTCCAACTAAAATGCTTATCCAAGTATACAGTTGCCTGCATAGAATTTATATTGAGTGAATAAGTAATGTGCAATTTTTTTCAGATGCAATGAAGATTTGTTCAAGAGATGAGACTTCTTAATTACATTTGAACTGTGAGAAGCATGCCACTTGTGGTGTCAAAAATAAATTGCAATGAATCCCATTGAGGAAAAGCCTCCAGACCAGATMCTCTAACATCAATTAGAGCCAGACAGAATTTTTCATCCAAATCTATTTTGAGCAAAAAGAAGTTGAATTTTGAGTATGTGCATATATATGTGTGTGTGTTTATATATATATATATGTAGGATTCATGAACAGTTACAAATGGAGAAAATTAAAAATGAAAACAATTAGTAACCACAATAATAACTTGACTTCAAATCAGTGTATATCTTACTGAATTGGTGTTAATCTTACTGAACACATTTTATATATTTAGAAATCACAAATTGTTAAAAATAATTGTGACTTTTTTTTCTCACTGAATGCAAAGATGATTAAATCTGAGCAGAGCTCTATAAGAAAAAGGTAGTCATCCACACATTGGCTCCKTGATTTCAGTGTTTGCTCTACCAGTCTCAGACATGATACTTCTAACACCTCATCTATAAAATCTAGTTAGTCAACATCCTAAAAAAGCACTTCAGCACATACCAAGAACYCAGCCAGATATTAGAACACTTCCCACCCATTCTAATGCAAACATTTGCAAGATATAACAGATTACATCTTGAGAAAAAAAATGAAAAATTACAAATTCCCTTTAAATTATATTMATATGTTAGCATATGAGCTTAAGAAAGCACATGTGCCCATATACACATGAATGATGGATTTCCTGAGAGAAAGGAAAGRAGGAATAGAAAATTGTAGATTTCTCTTCATCACATTCCTGATGGTTTATTATACTTTGAGTCATACAACAGAAAAAAGCTGCATCATSTCCAGGCAGAAGAGCATCAAGATAATATCAAACTTGTGCAAATATCCTTAACTGCTGTATCAAAAAATCTCAGAACAACTATCACTGGGAAAAGAAGTATCTGGTAGCTGTATCTGGTAGCTGTGATTGCTTCAATCAGCAGTATTTTTTTACCAGAATGAAATGCCTTTTAGTTTCACCAAGAGAAATATACTAGATGAGTTAGAAAAATATATTTCATCCTGAAAATCAGATCAGACCAAGGTTTTCTGCCTTCTAAAGCACCCAACACGTATTTCAGCAAGGTATCATTTATACTGCACCTTGCTTAACATCTTAATTTTCCATTAAACAGTTTTTCATTTCAAAAGACAAGATCTGTCATTGAAACCAGGCCTGCTTTATTTTCCTAWCAAAGCTTAACTTTTTCATCTGACTTCTTATGAAAATGTTTCTGTGGCCTTGTGTCTGCAGACTATATAAATAAAACAGGAGACCATAATGAAACAGATAAATGCTGCCATCAGGAAATACATTRAAAATGCAGTAGACCTGGTCAATTTTCTGCAAGAAGAGTAGAGCATCAGAGAGAGATCTTTATAAAGCTCTGTTGAGAAAAATTATTTCATGTAATACAACCCCAACTCAAAGGATGCTCTATAAAACTGTATAAAACTTTCCAAAAGTCCTGTCCAGATCTGGATATCTGTGGAATATAATTTAAGACATGACAACTGAAGAATATCCCATAAAATACTGATTCTTTGATTAAATAATATGAAGGATTAATTCAAGAARGTTTGGTAGAACTGAATCACAGAATCCAAGTCAATTCTTGGAGTGCTCCAGAGTGAAGGACCCTGGATGCAGTGGGGAAATTCAGAGAAAGAAGAGAGAACTTTGCCATTGCCAAAGCATGGAAAATGGTGTGGGTGAAAGAGGCATGTGTCAGCAGGGGAGAGAATAATGTGTCATCTATGTTAGCAAAGTTCAGTAATGAAATACCAAACTGAGAAAAGGTATAACGGAGTGAACTTCAGACATTTATCTTGAATGCTTCACCTGTGACCATCATCCATTAGCTCATCACCATTTCTGTCTAATTAGGTAAGGTAATKACAAAAACTAGTGTGATCTGGCCTCAAAGGTGGACTTCCCAGACAGATGACCTCAAGACCAGAGACAATCAAAGCTTCAAGCAGCAGATTCCTTTGTCCTGAAGTTAGGACACGAGGAACCATGTCTAGGGCCAGRGTTGCCAGTGCTTTTTGTCTTCCTTCTCTAGAGTTGGAATTGACTGTAAGAGAGAGACTCATTTGCAAATCTGATGGTGCTCTGATCCTTTTGAGATGCTCTGTGACATCTCAGACACCAGCACACAGCTGATGGACATGATTTAGCCCCTACATCTTTTTCATCAGCAGATGGAAACTATGAAGACCGGTTTGTGCCCTCTCAAAGAGTGGTTGATTAAGTGACTCACTTCAACTGCTTACACATGATGTTGGTGAGCTACAGGTCATCCAGTCAACCTAGCAAATGAAGCCTAGAGTATTATCCATAACCTCCTAAAATGGACTCATCTGTAAGTGTACTGAATTTGTGTCCAGACCCCACCAACTCTATGGACTAGATTCTGACCAACCCAGATACCTGGTTCAAATTCAGACAATGAAATTATTTACTCAATAAATCACAGCAAGATGAATCCAAGCCCTGCAAGTTGCAGGGTAGACTTTGATGGTGTAGGCTCCTGGGCAATCTAAACAAAAGTCTTGCTGGCATTACAGCAGCTTGCTGCAGTTGACAWATTGCTCAGTTTCACTGTGGTAAACGGAATGTCATCCTGTTTGGTGGTGATTTTACAACTCAAATTTTATTGGCAGGTCTGTATCTCAGAATAGTGTGGTCATACAGAAGCATATCAGAGAATCAGAGAATAGTTGGAGTGGAAAGGGACTTTAAAGATCATATAGCTCCAACCCCCCTGCCATGGGTAGGRAAGCTTTGTATACTGCATGTTGTATAGTATAATTTATTTACTTTTATACAATATGATTTTACATAGTATAGTCTTTGTTAGGGTCAGGTAGAAATTGAAAAACAAACTGGGTAGCCTTGGGTTTTTTCATACTGTATAGCCAGGGTTCTCCTTTAGGTAGCTCTCCCTAAGCCTACCAGTTTGTATTTCAACTGTAATGCTTTCATGTCTTCAAAAACTATTTGTTGACCCTGCCTCCAGCCTGCCATCTCTGCTACAGTATCTCAGTTCCAGCAAACAGGCACCAGAATCAGCGGAAATTCCATACTTCCCATACTTAATTCCCCCTCTTTGTGTGAATGGGTAAAGTTCAGTGAAAAGGATGGGTCCTAACCTTCATGAAGCGAGGACTGTAAGTCCAGATCTTATTTACCCATGAAGGACCCATCTTGTGGAACTTACTGAATAAAAGTTGATTTCTGGATGAGCTCAACAACTACACTGTTACTTGACTGATTATGATCGGATAATGATTTGTCAATTAAGGCTCGGTACATTTAGAGACTAATTACCAGGGAATTCTAGTTGTTAAGTTTCCAGAGAAATTTGGTATTTTTTAACTTGTTACCTGTTTTAGCCTTGTTATGCATCCCTCCTCCCATCTCATATACCATGTTGCTGTCAATGGGCTAATTTAAATACTATAAGAATAACAGAATTTTGGCAGAAATATTTAAAACTAACAGTGTGGAGAATGAAGGTGTGAAAACAAACACTTAATCAATAACTGAGACCTAAATATTCCTTTTTCACATATTTGGGCACTCCATAAAAAGAAAGTTCTTGTTTCTGTTCCAATTCCATTAAAAGCTCCAATTTCATTAAAGCAAGCTGAAATATCTGTCTTCAAGGCTAAATTAGTCTCTTGCTGCTTTATCCAAGTATGAAACAAGATAACAGAGCTGGTCAGTTACAGAATTCTTATTTTAATATGTTCTTCTGGGAATGTTCTTTGGCTAATTGGAAATGAACTTTACASATTGATCTTTCAGAATACAGCAAATACTTAATTTTCAAATCTTCTAAGACTTCCCTCCTCCCACAGGTTGCTAATATGGCTTTGACTGTTATGTGACTTGGAGCTTTTAGGTGGTGTTTTACATATCCCCATTCCTGTTCAGTATCTCAGCATTTCGGGATAACACAAACATTTAGGAGGCAGATTCAGGTAACAGACTTAGAACTACATTTCAGGTGTTTGAATGCACATATTTGCAAGTGGATGGAGCATGAGCTGTCAGCGTAAACCTTGGAGATTCAGAGCCAATTGATTTTAAAGAGTAAGATTTAATTGCCTACACAGAGGTGTCTAATGCCTTTTGAGATGTGATAGGATAAAGAAGAGTTGAACAAAATATGAGTTAAGTAATCAATAGTGAAACACTAGGAGGTGAACACAGGACACAAGGCTGTAAGATGCCAGAACAGCAGCCTAACTGCTAATCAGGATCTTCAACAGCAGCTCAAGAAACAGTAGATACTTATGTTTAGGCAACTAACTGAACAGTGTCTTAAAATATTCATTTGAGAAAACAAGGGTGTTCAGGAGCTGAATAGCTCTTCAGGCTCCATTGACATCACTGATTTGATATAATTTGAATAAGGGCTTAACTCAGTTACTGACACATGGGCATCCAGTGCCATTTAAATATCTTATGGCCTACAGCCTGTGTGGTCTTCAGCTGGTGTTAGACTGATAGTCAAACCAGATATTTCTTCTTCATAGCAATTTAAAAATCATGAATAAAGGAAACAGGCTATTATGCATGGCTTTTCGGATATCTTTTGGACACTTGAAGATTTTATTTAATTCTCAAAGAAGTGTTTCTTTCTTTAAACTAAATGATCATACCTGTTTCTCCACTTAYCTCAGGTATGCTGTTTTCTAGATTTTCACTTACATTTGTTATTTTCTGTAGACCCTCTTCTAYTGATTCATTTCTGCCTTCAAGAGCRCTACCCTTGACCACAAACATTAASYTCAGGCATTACCAATATAAATCAGACTCCTTYCAATGATGAGATTTGTAATTTTKTTGGTTTCCTTTTTCTTTCCCAAAAAGATGCTACTGGCTCATGTTCACTCTGAGATCAACAGCAACCCCTAGATTTCTACACACAGAACCCTGGCCCAACCTGGCACTCTCTGTCCTTAATTTGGATAGGAATAATTAGTTGCATGGATGCTGTATTTTGCACTTGTCCATACTGTATTTTATACTGTTTTCACACACATTTTGCTAAATTGGCAAGATAAATTTTACCTTCCATTCTATACTTCAGGAGGCATGCAGGGTCCTCCAGTATTCTTGCAGGTCCACCCAACTTTCTGACATTATCTGAGGGGATTTTCCCATGCTTATCATTGCTTCTCAGTAGTAACTATGGGAACAGATTTTTCCCTTTGCCTAARTTACACAAGATTATACAGCACTGGAGGATAGGAGAAATAACTAATCCAAAAGCTGTTTATGGCATGACTCTGAAGTCTTCTTTTAGTTTTTTTCAATCAAAGCACACTAGGACTGAAATCTCTGAAATGTTCACTGAGATACTGTGCTCAAAGAACTAATATCTTCCCTTGAGACTTCAATAACCTCAAAGCCAAAAACATGCCTAACTTATTTTCCAAAAAAAAAGTGTAGAAACTGGCCCTAATTACTAGAACTGTAGAAAACTCTTGAGAAGAAACTTGAAAAGGGTCTGCTGACTTGATGTATCAGATCCGCTGGCATGCTAAAAATTTGATTTAAACACAGTTTTGAGAAACAAATGTGATGTTTCTCCTGCATGGAAATACTTGTCCTAAAATTTTATAATTGAKCAAGCATTTTCATAATGCCCTGCATCAAAGCAATAGTAAATTCAGTATTGTGTCTTCATCAGTGACAAAAATTATAAATAYAATAAATATTTCAAAAAATGGTACAAGAAACAYGCTGTTCTCTGTGACTCCCTAATGCCAAGCTGTCCTAAACCCTGAAGWATGAGAYTTTTTAATTCCTTCCACTTGTTTTTAAGCAAGAACCATTAATATTCTGAACATTTGGTCAGTCACAGAAATATGTGCTCCTAGTTTTCATTCTCTTGTATTTGTCACACATCTGTTTGGATTTCTCATTTTCCTGATTTTTACAAATCTCTCATCTCTAAATTACTAAGTCATGCATTTAATGAAGTATTTCATACTGAACTAAAAGATGGCCTTGGACTGTCATAGAAGTCACTTCACAAATAAGTTCTCTGTATTGTMACTGCTGTCTAAAAGAGCCTTCCTACAAAAGAATATCCAGTCTTGACGAGGTGCAAGTAAGCCCTGGCTGCCAAAGGTGACACCAGCTGTACCACAGAAGGATATAGGATTAGAGCAACTGATTCTCCATAGAAAAATAATCTTCCATTCACAATGATAAACAAGAACAGCAGCAGCTGGCAAACCCCCTCATACTAATTTCAATCCCAGCAATATTTACATTTTGTTCTGAAATACAACTTGTGTTTCTGTGTACTTTGAARCAGATGCTGTGTCCAAAGAGTGGGTGAAGTGATGCTTACAAACATGATTGAGYTGTGCTTCATTTGTTCTAGTGTGCTGAGACAGATGGAACAGCACACTCCTGTGGTCTGAAGAGCACTGAAAATCTGAAGGCCCCCAATAATGAGACAAATAATAGCCCCACAAGTGCTGATGGMTTTCTGTGTTACTTTGGATATGATGGTCACACATATTCACACATATACTGGTGTCTAACACCAAATATGTAAATCAGCCTTGCACTTCATAATCTAAAGATATCCAGTGCTGTGAGTTACTAGTAACTTTTATTACATCTTCAAGGAAACAAGCAGGGATTTAATTTCAGCATCTTAACAATGAYGATAAATGCACTGGCTGGCTGTGTATAAAGTACTGTACATCCATCACTGAAAATCAAGATATAAAAGACATTACATTCATTATATAATAAAAAAGCGAAGATGCACTGAAAAGTAGCAGGAAGGTGTTTATAAAATTGKCAGCTTTTTGACCTAGTGTGCCAAACACACTTGTATATGATCAGTTACCCTGTAGGCTACATTCAAACTCATGATTCAGAGGTGACTTAACATTTAGATCAGAGATATTTAGGTATCTAGTTAGTTCAGTATCACATACACACAAGAACGWGAAAAACAAACAAGGAATCACAGAATCACAAAACGGTTTGGTTTGGAAGGGACCTTAAAGACTATAGAGATCAAACCCCACTGCTGTGAGCAGGGACACCTTTCACTAGACCAGGCTGCTCAAAGCCCCATCCAACCTGGCCTTCAACACTTCCAGGGATGGAATATCTACAACTTCTCTGGGTAACCCTGCGTCTCACCACTGTCACAGTAAAGAATTCCTTCACATATCTAACTTAAATCTACCCTCTTTCAGTGTGACGCCATTCCCCCTAGTGTTATCACTACACATTTTTGTAAAAAGTCCCTCCCCAGCTCTCTGCCCCATGAAATACTGAAAGGATCTCTTCTCCAGGCTGAACAACCCCAACTCTATCAGCCTGTTTTCATCAGAGAGGTGCTCCAGCCCCCTGATCATCTTCGTGTCCCTCCTCTGGACTCAATCCAGCAGGTCCATGTCCTTCTTGTGTTGGAGGCCCCAGAGCTRAATGMAGTACTGAATGCAGCTCTGGAATGACATTTCATGGGATCCTAAGTTCAGGTTTGTCAAGTAATTTCTTTATCCAAACATGCAACCCAGGCTATATATCATGATTTGTAATAATAGTGAATGATGATTAATAAAACAGTAATTTTCATGCASAAGAAAACGAAACACTAAATGGGCAAATGGCAATACTTGCCTGTGGCAAAGACAACATTCTTTGACACCAGTCTGTATTCCACGATAGAGAACTGAGGAAGTTCAATCCTCTCCACGCCAGTGACTGCGTTATCTCCACCTCTCCAGTAGAACTCTATGTCATCAGTTGTGTAGCCATCTGCAGGCAAAGCAGGAGAGTAAGTCAGAAATAACAGTAGATGCAAACACAGCTTCAAACATGCAGTTTGTCATTTGAGACAACAAAAAGAACTGGAACAGCTGGAGTGCTGTATGGTATTTTGCCTGTGGGAAGGTCTCCCAAACAGCTGCACCATYACACTCTGCCCAGGAATTTTAGGCAAAATACTCTGCTTTCGTTTTTTGATTTTTTTTTAATCTGTCACATAATATTCACTAATGGTCACAATGAGAAGAAAACACTATCCAGAAGAAAACACTCTCCACTTAAATACTATCCAGTATTTAAGACCATATATACTTAGCACTGAAACCAAGTTGTGTTTACACTGATAGTCACCAGAAAAAGGTTGATTATTCAATGAACACAGAAAAATATAATTGGGGCAAACCTTTTCCACTCATAGTAAACTGTGAGTTGCACCATTTCCACAGTAAACTGTGAGTTGCACCATTTCCACTAGTTTAAACTAGTTGAATACAGAATATATAGTAGTATTTTCTGTGTATGTTTCAAAATTTCCAGCCAGTACCAGAAATGGATCAGGTACTTCTGAAGTGCAAATATACATCTGARTATTGCAATCCTAGGATATGAACAGGTGAAAATCAGAATATTGTTCTTTTTGTAACACAATTTTGAATCATAAATGGGGTCAATCTGAGAGCCCAGGGCAGCTCCTGCAGCAAGATGATCCATGCATAATAAAGCATACTAAAAGAAAATTGTATCAGAGTGTTTGCTCTCTTGAAAATAAATCTGATAAAAATACAAATATTCATCTCTTGTGCTGAAGATAAGCATCCAGTCACTACCTCTGCCAAGTCAGGCAGGAATACTAAATTACTTCATTCTGTCCTAAACTCATTTTTCTAGGATGYATTCATCTATCTAGAAATGGGTATGACTCCTTACATCTTTTAATAAGTCAAATAAACAGATGAAAAAAAAATCCCCAAAGTGATAATTTCATTATTCAAATGGTGTTTATAGACACGTGTAAATATTACACAGTTCTATTAAAGGAAAAAAAAAAAAAAACAAACCCTAGATCCAAACTAGATTTCACATGCATTTTCTTAGGTACGTACAGCTTTCTATTTCCAGAGTACAGTTTTGTTCATCTAATGGGTATCTTCTCAAGTCCATCATACAAGCTGCAGTGGTTGTGATTCTGAAATACAAGCATCAAATRGTTTTACCAAACAGCCAGTAATCCAGGATTTCACAATGGGGTTGTTTATCTTCCAAAGTGAAGACCCTCTGAARAATAGCACACAATAACTGAGAATCTGGTCCATATTTTTACACTGAAGAGCAGCCTAAWAGAGCAGCAATTACACTGACTTTCAATGGAACAGCTCGCTGTGATTTACCTTTATGCAACCAGTCCCTTTGGAGTGCAATGGACCTATCCCTATATGCAAATATTACACAAACATTTCCTGAGATTAAAAGATATGACTTTATAACAGAAAACTTGAAGTGAAAACAGTCTGCTACAAATGTCAAAATGATTATTACAGCTGCATGAATAACTGATTTCTTGGCTTTGTGGCAGGTCTAGAGAAAAGCCCCTGAAATGTTGAGAAAAAGTTTTAAGTCCAGCAAAATGCTTTGTTTCAAAGTTAAGTATGACTMCCAATTTTTTAGATTTAGATTTAGAAGCTCCATACTGAATTTGAAGTTTTCTCCTCAAATAACAATACACTTTTGCTTCTTTGTCTGTTTAGCCATTTAGCACCGTAGGGATGGTTTTGCAAAACATTTCACTATTGATGAATCAGCATTATTCRTCAACCTCTTGTATATCAGGAGAGCCAACAACACACATAAGCAACAAGAACAACTGTCTTAACAGCTTCAAACAGCGGTGACACTTTATTTTTTAATTAATGGATTTATATATTTGTACTAACTTTAGACAGATATAACCATATGCTCATCATTAATCTGCAGCATATTTTGATGTTTTTCTGAATCTCAGCCTTCATCAAGGGTATGTACATTATTATGCATCATTGTTTTTATAATGGCTTCATATAAATTTCACATTTAAATTATCTTCTGAGCCTGACTAGCTCTATTCCTTACTGATCCTTTTCTGATATAAACAAGACATGGACCTTGCACACACTTTGTTCCTAAACAAATACTCTTGTGATAATTTATGCTAATAAATACAAGAGAGAAAAATGCCTTAAATGCACCCCTAAAAGCTGGAACCCTCAACGGTAATGTTTTTTTCATGTGTTTTCTCTGTTTTTAAGTTCTTCCTTCTACTCATTAACTTTCTCAAAATTCAGCCTTCTAATCTAATAAAATACCTTAAAATTCCAGAGCAATGCTTCCAGAGAAGCATTTAGGTGCTTTTTTTCACCTCTTTCAGAATTAAAAAAAAAAAMCAAAACAAACAAATATGTTTTTTATTATGAATGGTCTATCCAATCTCAAAGAAATACTGTAATTTCTTTGCACAGGGAGAGACAGTTATATGAGCCCTGGCAAAYAGTGAGGCCTAGCACAAAACAAACAACCAGCATGASAACAGCATGTTTGGGCATGTACCTGTACCAGTCAGTGCCAGCCTTTAGCTTTGCAATGTTGGTAATTGTTGCTTATATAAKGATCTGTTTTCAGTTACTGCTGACAGGGTATATATACTGTGCTCTGTATCAATAAAATTGGCTTATTGCATCCAAGCCATCTGCCCATCTCTTCAATCACCGACCGTCACCCACATACAAGGTCAGCCTTCCTCCAGGCTGGAATGGGGATTGCTCTGGTTCCTCTGTTAACATTCCAGTGGCTGGAGATGTRCAAACAGCAGATCCTCGGTTGCTCTGAAGCTTAGGGTGACATCTTCTCTGCAATTAACATCTGCAAATGCCCTTCTGGAACCTCAAGCTGAGACACAGAGCTATGAACTATGGAGATGATGAATCCTCTGGGGGGTGTTTAACCTGGAGAAGGAAGGTTCCAGGAGGACCTTATACCAACTTTCCCATACCAAAAGATGGGTCGCCAGAGYGCTGGAGAAGGACATTTTAGAAGGGTGTGTAGCAATAGGACAAAGAGGAATGGCTTTAAACTGAAAGATGGTACATTTAGATCAGAT